ACATAATCTTCGGCAACGTGCAGAATTGAGCTGTTAATGCCTAGTGGAAATTCCGCATTACTCCAATTGCTTTATTTTTATTTTATTTTGATACGAAATAAAGCCTGCTAAGTACTATTTTCCTTTAAATATATATAACTTAAAATTTAGCGCAAAAAAAAATCAATTTTCATGCAAATCAGCCTATGCGGTTCCATTTCTACAATACACCGCGTAAAAATTAAATCGGCGTAATAAACAAATATTGGCAAAGGAAACTTCTCACTCGTACGAACTTCATATGTACATACGCCCATCTTTACAAAAATACATACATATGTACATTAGGACGGTCCTTAGTTATATGAAGAAAACTAAAGTGTTTGGATTCTCGGTTTCATTCCCTAGAAATTTGTGAATAGCCTAAAGACTAAACTATGCAAAGTTTTAGGACAATCAAAAAATATTTACGGGCCTATTCTGCTTGTTACCGAACATTTTGACACCGGAAAATTTTTTTACCAAAAAGCACCACTTCTTGTAACCGCAATTCTAAGTACCTTGGTAACAATTTAATATAATCAGCAATTCAGCTATGTAGTTTTGTATGAATTCAGGTGTTGCATACTTCCCAGGCAATATTTTGTTACCTGCTTATGAGATGGTAACAAAATTTTCCAGTGCGCAGAATGCGAAAAGGGTTTAAAAATTTCGATGAAATTTATTTACCGGTAAGAAAATTGTTGTTACCAACGCAGAATAGACCTGTTAGAGGTGGCTCAAAGCGCTCAAAGTTTCCCATGTATTTTAAAAGGGGGAAAAACTATTTTTCGTAGAAATTGTATAGAATCCTTGAAAAGCAATATTTTTCAATGGGCAAACTCTGATTCTCTTCAGGAGACTTCAAAAAATACTACCCAATTGGTTATTTAAAATTTGTTTAATATTAACGATTTTTTTGGGTCCTCTATTGCATTTTTTAAAGGTTTTGAGGGAACCATAAAAAAATTGTTAATATAATAAACTTTTGAATAAACAATTGGTTATTTTTTTGAAGTTTCCTGAGGAGAAAAAGAGTTTGGAGATTGAAAAATATTGATTTTAAAGGATTTTATACCATTTCTAAAATTTGTTTTTTCACCATATAAAATACATGGGAGCACTTTTATCCACCTCTTAAATCTTTTTTGGTTTGACCTAAAACTTTGTATAGTTAAGTCTTTGGGCTATTCACCAATTTCCAGGGGGTGAGACTGAGAATCCGAGCTGTTTTCCAAATAAGGGCCATCCTAATGTACATATCGTCGTTTAAAGTACAAAACCGCGTATCAACAAAATGCAAAACCGCGTATGTGAGGTTGCATAAATTATTTTTTAGAGAGTAAAACACTAATATTTTAAAATGGTTATCTTTTTTTTTATAAAGCAATCGCATTTATGGCTAGTATATTTCAGGCCGAATGGATACGGATTGAGCCAAGAGCTTGTGTGAGCAAAGCCAATTTTTGGCAGCAAATGCCAGTTATGCGGGGTTTTGCAGAATGACGATACGCGGTTTTGTACTTCAAACGACGATATGTAAGTATTATACATTAATTGATCGTTTAAGGTAATAAGATAAAAGTAAATATGTACGTACATATGTATACAATATGTAAGTTCGCTACCAGTTTCTTACACTTTTGCTTTTCAAGTTCAACAAACTAAATTTAGTAACAGCTGGAAGTGTCAACTCTGGCAACCTGTTTTCATGCATACACATGCACTTTCCTACAATAACATCATTATCGAATATCCAAATGAGCCAATGAATGACCTTGAAAATTTAAAAACCATAGAAATGCAGTTTTCCTTAACTTCAATAGTCAGCGGTGGAAGAAGACAAGAAATAAATTTGTACATACATACATACATACATATGTGGAACGGGTGTGTCAAGGAAGGCTGTCGTTTTACATTGTCATTCCTTTTATAGAACAATTTCATAAATGAAACCTTTTTGGAAATAAGAATAGCGATTAAATAACGTAAACAGTGCAACAAAATGAAAAAAAGTATTCCCTGGGGTCTCGCCTTATTTTGATCAGTTTTCGCTACATATTTATATGCCAGGGGTGGGCAAGGCCGAGGCCGAAAAGAGTCACTTGTAAATTCTAAAAGCTAAAAAAACAATAAAAGCAAAGTTGCCACGATGCAATTCCTACGTACAATCGCCCGCTGATTCCGAAAGTTGAGTAATTTTTTTATCCTATGGATAAGTTTTCGAGATATTTTCAATTTACCTTTATTCTTAAAACAAAAAATAGCTCCACTTAATCACGTATATCTTACGAAACTAATCTAACAATCGTAATACGTCGTACGGAAAATGAAATCCAACAACTTTTCGATAGATCTGATAGTTTCTGAGAAAATAATAAATCACTCCATATTTTTTTTTATGAAAAAATTGAAACAAATTAAAACCCTAACAAGGGAAAAATTACGGTTTTTTTAAATTTCTTTATTTTGTAAGAATGACCGTTCTTTAAAAAAAATTAATGAAGAGAATAGATGAATAAATAAGAAATAAAGGAATGGTAGGATGAAAAAGCGCAAGGATTTTTTGTATGAAATATTAACAGAAAAGAGAGTTACCCAGGTATATATGTCGTATGAGTAACATTCTTTCGTGCTCATTTTTCATACAAAAAATCTTTGCGCATTTTCATTTGACCTCTCATTACTTTGTTATTTATCCATGGATTTTCTGCATTAGTAGTTAAATTTTTTTTGTAACAGAACACAATTGCATACACAGAATCTGTTATTTAAAAATTTTTCTTTCTGGTACAGTGCCTTATCTTCTTTTAATTCCAAAAACTCCAAATCTTCTTCGGTTTTCTTAAAAAGGAGTATTTCGGAAATTGTAAATTCATTCCCATTTATGTTACATAAAGAATGGTCTATGATCGTTTTTAAAAATCTGCTTATAAATCATGTAGTTTTGCGACATAGGGGTACAATTTATCCTCTTTGACAAGTGCAATATTTTTTTCTAGCCATGGAAAATGATGAAAAATTCTTTTTTAGACCATGTATAAAAATATGTAGTTTAGCTTCAAAACTTTAAATAATTTGCGACAAATCAAAAACATTTTTATTCTCTCCTTGTAGAGACAAATTAAAGTTTTGCAAATGTTTCATCATTCCAATTCATTCTCCAATTGCGGGTAATGTTCCGATCTCAGTTTGCGTATATATAAAGGGAATAAAATAAAAAAACAACACAATGGAAAAGAATGTCCAGCAAAGAAANTCGTATATATAAAGGGAATAAAATAAAAAAAAACCACACAATGGAAAAGAATGTCCAGCAAAGAAACATGCATTTTAAAAGGTAAAAAAGCTTGTAAAAAGAGCCAAAATGTTCTAAGCAAAGAGTGAGTAAAAAAAGCCGCACTTTGCTAAGCATAGGGCCGTATTTGGCTCAAAGAGCCGCGTTTGCCTACTGTTGGTATATGCCTTTGGTTTATTTAATGTTTAACATTTTTTTTATAAAAGTCTAGCTAGTTCTACAACAAACATCATATAAATCTNAAAAGTAAAAAAGCTTGTAAAAAGAGCCAAAATGTTCTAAGCATAGAGTGAGTAAAAAGAGCCGCACTTTGCTAAGCATAGGGCCGTATTTGGCTCAAAGAGCCGCGTTTGCCTACTGTTGGTATATGCCTTTGGTGTATTTAATGTTTAACATTTTTTTTTTATAAAAGTCTAGCTAGTTCTACAACAAACATCATATAAATCTACATTTCAAAATTTGTACAAAAATTATAAAAATCCAAAAAATTTTTACCAAAATTTCAAACATTTTATTCAGAAATTTTTTTGGTATTCAGTTAAAACCAATAAAAAGTAATTGTAAGTGGCTACAAAAAACATTTGATTTTTATATTTTTTTGGTGGCGGTAGCATGCAGCTTTTTCCACGCAAATTATGTGCGATAATTATTTATTATATGGAAGAGAATGCCTAGCACCGTCAACAAATGAAAAAAACATCAAAAATCAATTTATCATAATAATTTTTTTAAAGTTTGTAATTTTGATGAAAATTGGTTAAATTAGATATTATATTTTATATGAAGTTAGAAAATCCGATTACCATAGTTCTGTTATAGAATATGCATTTTTTTTAATAAAAAATTAATGAAATTTAAATAATTCAAAGATCAGGATTAAAAGCGGGCGCTGTTTAAGTTGCCGGCAATGTATACTAAATTAAGCGCACAAAAAAATAAAAACAAATTTTTGTTAAACAGGTAGGCACCCTGTTCAGGAATGGGAAAATAAACCAAAAAAAAACTCGTTATCTATCAGTTACCTACTACCTTACATCAGCATCAATAACAAATTCAAAGTGGGTTAACGTGGAGTAGCGATTTGCTTGCCTTGTGGCGCTAGCATAAATGCATTTTGTATGACATACATACCCACATATCTGTACAAGTGTGCGGGAAACAGCAGTAAGCGTGTAACACATTATCAGCTGTTTTAAAATGCAGTTGCAGTCTAGTCGCAATGCATTTGGCTTAATATGCAATTACAATAACAAAATATCCATATATAGTGCAGTATTCATTCATAACAAAACTTGTTGATTTACAATTTGCTTCATTGCCAGCTATTGTCAGTGATGACAGCAGCGGCGAACTGTCAAAATTGACAACCTGCAGTGATGGCGTGAGTGTATTAGAAAATTTTGTTATGAGCATGTGCAAAGAATAAAATCTCAAAGTAAATATACACACACGCACATGCATGCAAACAGCACAACATCGGATGGAAGAAGTGGTCATCCAGCACATTTTTCTGATGACACAAGATTTTCATGCGTTCCGAAAATTTATTGTACTTGAACTGAAGTAAACTTAAATAATATCTGAGGACATCTTGCAATTTTTTAAAATACTTTGGCAAAGCCAGCAATCATCGCAATTTTCGAATAACTTTTTCTGCCATCAGTAGAATTACATATTTACTTACCAAATTATAAATCTACATCCTATGTACTATGTAGTATGTATGTTTTAATATGAAAAGCACTGCTTTTTCATAGTTGCTGCTTAATTAAATTCATGATTCGACTAGATGATGAAACATTTTTGTTTAAAAATTTGTTGCTGTAAGTTTCGACTGCATGCTTAAATGTAAGAATCACTCATTTTTTTTTTATTTATTAATTGTTTAGCTGTGTTTTCCGTTGCTTCTGTTGCGTTATTCGGCTTGTGCGCGTAGCTCTCTTGTTTTAGTCATTAACAAAATGCTCTTATCTATTTTTTTGTAACACGTGTAACTTTGCTTATTTTTCGAAATTTATTTATGTATATAATGTTATGTATTAGTACTCCCGTTTCATCTCGGGTGCCGGTAAATTGTTTACCACTGGTGTTGGATTGTTGGTAAAGGTAATGGCGGAAGGTGTTTTTTCGTTTCACCATCTATCTCAGCTATTTCTTTATTCTTCTTATTCTTTTGGGTGTGATTAAATGTTTTCTGTCAATTGTTTTGTAAGATATTTTTGCGCGCACAAACCCCGATTTGCAGCGAATGAATTCTCGCAGCGACTTTCTATTATCGTATGATTTTTTCAGACGTCCATTCGATTTGATGGTCAAGTAGTGACTGCAAACTTGACGCTGTCACATTTCATGGGTATATCAAGAGTATGCATATATAAGTATGTATGTATGTACATATATAAGTATGTACCTACTAAATTTTAAATACACGCCGATTTTCTTATGGTTCACACATACATACTACAGCGGCAACATAAATACATACATCTTTCAGGTTGGACCCACATTGCTATTTACTATTTTATGTCTGTTGAACAATTTTTCAAAAATTTTAACTTGAATTTATTTTTCTTTTAATCAATTTACAACTTAAAACTATTTTCAACCATTAAAAGTGCATTTTTTTTTTAATACAACATGTATATTACTACTCTTACTAGAGCTGCGTGCACATATTTATTTACAATTTCATTTGCAAATTGGCGTATTCGTAATATTGTTTATGCATGTGTGTGGTAGTTTTTAATGATGAGGGTGCTCTTTAACTTAAGAGCATTTGCTATTGCAAGAGAATAAATTAATGATAAGAGCGGTAACTGCAAAAGGGCTTACCAATGCACTGTAATAGGAGTAGAAGAATCGTACTAATTCTTCTTTGTGTTGGCCATACTCCCCTCGAAAATACNCGTGCTCTTTAACTTAAGAGCATTTGCTATTGCAAGAGAATAAATTAAGCGATAAGAGCGGTAACTGCAAAAGGGCTTACCAATGCACTGTAATAGGAGTAGCAGAATCGTACTAATTCTTCTTTGTGTTGGCCATACTCCCCTCGAAAATACAATACTGGCTTCTACATAGCTTTTTTCGAAGCTTCAAGTGTCAATTAATTTTTAATTTCTTACTTATTCTACGCTGTATAGCACCGTGCAACAGTAAATTTTACATAAAAAATCAATATATGTATGTATTCGCGAAACTATGGACAAAATAGATTAAAACTGCGTCTTTAGTTTATATCTCTGACGTTAGTATCTTTTTAAATATTTAAAAAAAAAATGCAAGTAATGTATTCTACATACATATCTTGTGGGTATTAAAAAATATAATATATAATTAATAAAAAATTATTAAATTTTTTGGTGAATTAGCACAAATGGGTATGGAATATGCCCATATTTGTCCTTGAATATCCTTGAAAATTTCCAATATTTATTGGCCTAATAATGGCTTGTGGCCTCTCTACCTGGTCTACCCACTATGTTGAGTTCGCCGCGTAAACTGCTGTTGCTTTTCCACTTTTTCATATGTCAACCCGAAAGCAACAACAGTCTGGTGTTGTAAGCTGGAGTCGCGGGTTCGAATTCCAGTGAACTCGATGAAGTAGTCTGATGAGAAGATGTGGTGATCTCCGAAATAGAAGTTATAACTTCTACCATTTATAAACTACTATATCGCCCTAACCCGCTTCGCTGAGTGTATATAGTTTTTGCGTGTAATTTATTTCATTAAATCTCAACATACTTAAATTAGGCCAAAAACAGGAGAATCCATTTTTTTTTTACCAACCCTCTTTAAAATATTTTCCAACTAAAACCTTTTTCAATTTCTTTCGTCTGACACCCATGTCGTGATACATATTCCGATTGATACGCATATTGCAGTAATTCATTTAAATGAATTGAATATAATTTTTTAACGGGCGGCAACCCTTGTAAAACATCTCAATAGTGTCCTAATTGTTCAATCGGAAGGTTTCTTGACAATCTGTCATATTTAATTTTTCAGATAGCTTGCGTATAAATAATTTAAATTTGACTTTTCAAACAGGTGGCAACCCCTTTCAAAATATTTTAAAACCCTTTTGGGCATCTTTCGGTTGAAACCCATATTTTTATACAAATTCGAAATAAATAATTCCCCTAATTTAAGTTGAATTTGATTTTTTAAATGAGTATGGAATTGATTTAATATACATATATACATATGTATGTATCTCCATACCAAGTTTAAGTACTCTGCCATAATGCGGTACGTACCGCATTCCGTAGGTCCTGGCTTCGATCCCTGGACCATGCAACATCTAAATTACAAACAGTTTTTTCTAATGGCAATAACTCCTCGCCAGGAACCTCCAAATACTTATATTTATGTCATAAAAAATTCTCTCATAAAATCCATCGATCCATCGATAACGATCGGAGGCGGCGTAAAGCTGTAGGTTCCTCCTTTCGCCTAATAAGATCAAGAGAAGAAACTCGGCTTAAAATTTAGCAAAATAGTACGCGCCAAAATATTATTATTATTATAGATATTGTTATAAATAATTGAAAATATATATAATTGTCCATTTAAAATATACAGGGTGTCCTAGACCCCCGTCTACCCCGTATAAAATGGGAATGCTCCATATTCTGGTCATATTACAAACCACCGTTTTCGACCGGAAGTCGGTTGAACTGAACGAAAGCAAATTTTTTTAAATGGGGTGTGAATGTTTTTACCACAAATGCGGATTCTCCGCATAGAAATACGTAACATTTATTTCAAACTTTTTTATCGGAAGTGTCTTTTCGGTTTCAATCGCAAGTGGTTGCCATATACCTTGTTTATACCTACGCAAAAACCGCATTAACAAAAAGCCGATTTGACTCAACACATATTTTTTCCATGCATTGATGCCTGTGTCTTTACACTGCACTCGCTGAAACCGTATTTAAAACTAAAAAAAAAAAAATGTTATTGTGGCTTATTAACATTTTATTTTTAATATTTTTATTGAGCTTTGTACCACGATTGTTTATTAGGGAAAATTGAAAAAGCAACAAAGTCTAAGCGGTAGAAGTTATAACAGCTATTTCGGAGATCACCACATCTCCTCATCAGACTTTTTTCCCTGCTGAAGTCTAGATAAAAGTGACTAAAACAAGTGGCCACGTGTGATTTTGTTTTGAATATTCGTAATGTTTTTCGAACAATTTTTTTTTTTGTTATTTTTCTATAAAAACTTTATACAAAATTAGGAAAATTCGACAAATTTTCATCAACACTTCTATTTTTAATCTGAATCTTTGAAACATTTTTGGGTATACAGTGAGTGCTGCTTATTCAAACGAACGTTGCTTCAAAAGGCCCAAAACAATAAAAAAAAGGCGCAAAGGCCCAAACGGAGGAAAAAGACCCATGTTTGGCATAATTGTACCAAAGTGTCAACCGTGCTCACATTTGTTAATTCATACTTAAATATGCGTTCGTAAATTGATTCTCTTCTTTTATCCGTAGTTATCATATATTTACATATACATATCTATGCATACATATATATATATATACATATGTACGTATGCATATATCAGTAAGACTTGTTCAACATTAAATAATGCCTCCTACTGGCTTTTCACTGATACCCAGGTATTTTTAGTATAAATTTGCTAAAGGCAGAATTTGTCATCGTATTAGTAAATAACTAACCACATTTGTATTTCTCTTAAAACTTTAGAAGAGAGTGTGAAAGAAAGTTCAAAACAAAAATCTGACGCAATGTCATGGACAGTTTGCAAAACTTGAACGTATGTATGTATGTACATACATATCGTAAACGTATTTGGTAGTGGTTGAAGTGCTCTATGCACACACACATCCAGACATGTTGCTGCGAAAGTTAAAATGGGTATTTCTCTACTTTTTTTGTAAGCGAAGATGCAAACAAATAAATTCTCGCATGAAGCTGCAAGAATTTACAGGAATTTACCAGAAAGCGTTCCCGTACTCGGTACTCTGGCTTCTTTTGCTTTTTGACAGTTTTACAGGTTTTATGCAGAAAGGTTGAGGAGCGCATCTAATGTCTAACAAATTTTCGACTTTGAATTTTAAAAATATCAAATTTTCACTTTCAATACCCTCTCGATATGTACATATCTACTATATATGTATGTATATACATATTTTATATATATATGTATACTATTTTTTAGTATATTATTCGTTTTATCTCTTGAATCATTATGCACAACATTTAGCAATTTTTAAAGGCAACGAACTTTTTATACATTTATTGTAAAATTAAATGTTTTTTATATTTTGTATACTTTTAGGCGTTATGAATGTATATTTGCATCCCACGCACAAATTGTTTGTTTTGACACCCTGTAGTGAATGAAAGCGGCATAATTGAATAGAATACATATACACATGTATGTACATATGTGTTTATGATTAGGGATGCAAACGATGCATCGTTGTTTTTGAAACATCGATAATATCGCTCAAATTTTCGATGTTTGCCATCGATGTTTACAATTTACTAACATCGCGAAATTGACGATACATCGATGGAACTTTTATCGATGTTTTAAGCATCGACGTTAAGAAGAGTCTCCGACTTTCTTTCGGTATGTTTGCCTGCCCTTAAATTTATTATTCATTCAGATTTTTTTTTGTTATTTATGGCCTTATAACAATTTATTTAACAATTTTATTGAGCTTGAGGCCGTTTCTTATGAAAAATGTTATTGAAAATCAACAATAATTTACAAAAGGTAGAAGTTATAGCTGCTACTTCGGAGATCACCACATTTCCTCAGTGACCGCGGTTGAAGAAGTCTGATTAGTAGATGTAATGATCTCCCAAATAGCAGCTATAACTTCTTACCTTTGTAAATTATTGTTGCTTTTCCACGTTCAATAAAATTTGTTGGATTCATTCTGAATCTAATAACCTAGGCGTTAAAACAGAACCAAACACCCCTTAGAATTTCAACAAGATCAGGCCTAGGATTTTTAAGCCCGAACGACCTTACGATGGTATGCATATTGATTCTAATAATAGAAAGGGTATAGAAAGGATAATAAAGTACAGGAAAATACATTCATAATTATTAAAGTAATCAATATTGCTTTAAATTTAACTTGAAATTAACAAATTGCAAAACATCGGAAACCATCGATATATCGATGTTTCTCTAGCGATGTATTTCAGCCTCGATATTCTTTTCTCCGATGCATCGAAACATCGATGTATCGATGTTACTGCTCAAAATTTGCATCCCTATTTATGATGTTTACACTCAAATTTATAAAAAAAATAAAATAGGGCTGTT